AAATTGTACCTCTTCAATTTCATTACGGCCAGCAGTGCCTACTCTTATTTAAAAAATGGTTTTAAACATAGAATAATATTATTCTAATTTAGTTTTATGATAATTCTTATTTTATTTTATAGTAATTTTTTAAAGATTTTTGTAGCTGTGCATAATATGCACCTCTAATTTTGCTTATTATTTTATTGAAAAAAATGTTTATTATACAGAGGGAATTACAGTATTTATTATCTGTGTCTACAACTCATATTTTCTTTTTTAATTTATGAGTTGAAGCTTTTTTTTTTTCTTGTTTACCTTTTGTTTTTGTTCCCTTTTCACCTTTTATTGTTATTTATTTTCTTTTTATTTAAATACTTTTCCTTTCTGTCTTTCTCTTTGACAGATTCAACACCTGCTTTTTTTTTTTTTTACTTCTTTCTTTGCTTTTACATGCACATGTCTCTCTTTTTCCACTTCTTCATTTCCTCTACTTTTTTATTTTTCTCTTTTTTTCTCAAATGCATTTCTATAATTCTTACCCCAAATTCTTATTTTCTCATCCTCACAATTTTCTATTCAAAATTCTTTTATTTTCTCTACTTTTATCAACTTCTCTTCCTCTCTCAGACAATAATTATCTTCCCTACATATTCTCATAAACTGCACCTTTTACACAACATTCAACCTCCTGCAGTAATCCTCTAACTTGAGTGGCTCTTCGACTTCGTATAGAGTGAATATTAAAAAAAAGACTCATGCAAATATATTATTATATTCTTCCTGATTTTGCTTAATTCTTGTTTACCAGCCAAATTAATCTGGACCATACACAGTCCCATAATAAAAAGCCAGTCAGTCATTCGTACTTCTCAAAACAAGAAATAGTTGTCAAGTTTTACTTTTTAGACTGATTAACCAAAATATATAAGTTATACTGAGTAATGGAGAATTATTATAAGGTACGCTAATTTTTTTTTTTTTTTTTTTTTTGATCAAATTCACCCCAAGCAAGGCAGTGAAGCCCCCAAGGTGCAAGGGGTTACTGGGTGTGAAAGAACTAGAAAACAGAAAACATTATGAAGGAGCAAGAACAATAGAAGATTACAGTCGACCGGATTGTTTCAACTGTCGAACTCTCTATCTCAAGTAGAGAGGAACCCAGACGAGGCTTTGCCACAGGGCAAGGTTTCGTCTGGGGAGGTAGACAGGCCCTGAACCCACCCATTTATACGGCTTCTAAGGGAATATTTTTGGCCGAGCCTACGGGCTTGGAAAACCCACAGTAAACTCGGCCTTGTGCCACATACATCCCTCGTGGGGGGGGGGCTGTTAAATATTAACAATAGAAAAGTAATCAGGAAGATCATAAATAACAATTGACATTGCCTTTAAATCTTTGAAGATCAAAGCTGGCCAGAAAGTTTGGAGCCCAAAGAGAGTTCCACAAGCGAGAAAAGAAACTGTTAGCATAGAATTTACGCTTATATCCAGACAAGTCAACTGTAAATTGATGAGACCTTGTTGCCAATCTAGTACTGGGCTTAACTTCATGAAGTACCTTAGCAAAGAGCTCATCTGAACAATTACCATGAAAGTATTTATAGAAAAACCACAGAGAAGCAACTTTTTGGTAATGAGAAAGCGACTGAAGCTGAGCAGTCAGATCAGGACTAATAATATTGCTGATTCTTCTGTGGATTTTATCAAGAATCTCTAAATAAATAGCAAGAGCACCAGACCAAATGTAGTAGCAATATTCTGAGCATAGGTGAATGACAGATTTATAGATATGTAACATAGATTCTGGAGAGAAAAATTGTCACAGTGAACCAATATTTTTACCAGCTGACCTAGCAATGGATTCAATGTAGTCTTTTCATTTCATGTCAATTGAGTGTGTTAACCTGATAAGGCACAATGAGTCACTCTCCTGGAGGATAGCATCAGCCATACAGAAAGGTGCCTCTCAGATGATTAACAGAGAGCCATTTAGTTTTAGAGGCATTAAAATTAATAAACCATTCTTTGCCCCAGTTAACAACAGACTGTAGATTGTTTTTGAGATCAGCCACCAATTTGACCTTATCAAACTGATCTGACTTAGTATCGAGGCAGGAGTAAATGGTTGTGTCATCTGCGTAGGCACCAAGTTGAGAGATGATGTCATAAGGGAGGTCATTAATGAAAATTGAAAACAAAGTAGGACCAAGGATATAGCCCGGGGGTGGGGGAGACTGCGTTAGTAGAGAAGGATCTAGAAGAGTGGCCATTCAGGACAACGTTCATTCATGGAGAATTATTATAAGGTGCTCTAACTCATAAAGAAAGGAAAATTTAATTTATAATTAGAAAATAAGGATTGTTTTTTCTTTTTTTATTAAGGTTGATTAAAATATTGATTATTAATATAAATTAAATATAACTTATTTTACATAAATAATAATATTAAAATTAACAGTAACTTTTTTTAAAATATGTCACTTAGGGTCAAATCATGTTGAAACACACTGGTTCTTGTTTGATCACTAAAGTTAAGCATTGTCGAGCCTGGTCACTACTTAGATGGGGATTACTTGGGAATACCAGCTACTGTAAGCAATTTCCTACAATCTGAAATATTTACATTATTCAAACTATTATCCTCATCTTCATTGCCATACTCACAACGTTTCGACCATTGTACACTCCGGCCTTTGTCAGGTGATTGGAATTTCGGATGAAATGCTGTGAATATGGCAGTGAAGATGAGGATAACAGTTCAAATAATGTAAGTAATCACAATACCTCATCTCAGAGATATAGACAGAAATATAAAATATGTTTTGGCTTTAAAAAACCAACAAAGAAATGAAATCTATGGAGAGTGTTTTTTTTTTTTGTTTTTTTTATTCCAGTTCTTTATTGGGAAAGATACTAAAGTGATTTTCTGTTGAGCTTTTCTAAGGTTTTTGTTATCCTTCTCTTACAGTGGCTACCATCCAAGGCTAGAGAGCCCAGTTTATTATGCTATTTAACCTGTAATTTATCTAAAGGCATTGGTACAGAAGTGAATGCCACAGATGTTGTCAGGACTTGAACTCTAGTTGCTGATTCCGTTTTTTTGTTCAGATAACCATTGTGCTATCCTTGACAGCCACTTATTTTATTTTTATACATTAAATAAATAAATATATTTCCTATTAGTTTTTCCCTCCAAACATTTTAATCTTCCTTCGGAAATGAATTCCTCAAATATGCTTCAAGGGAATCAATATGAGAAGAGATATAGGAACTAAATATTTGCAAATCTAAGATGGATATTAATCATGTGTAACTCTGTCAAGCTGAGGTTGGGTGTGGTGGTGGTGTGACAGCATTCGTTGTGTAAAGTGAGTCTTTGCCCATGTATAAACTCACCTATTCTTCTTACAGTCAACCACCATTCTCTTTGACATATATGGTGACATGTGAATTGAACACAGGGATAAGTGAATTCATGCCTTTTTTAAGGACGTTCACATGAAATGATGATGAAATGGCTGATTTAGAATTTGAGCTTGGTTTTCATGCCAGTATGTTGCTCACGCACAAACACACACACACATATATACATACCTACATAGAATGTCAGACACATACACATACATGTTAACAACATGCACACATACATATATTATGTCAAGCATATGCACACACAGTTTCAGTCGTGCATACACAATGTATCAGCCATACACATGTACAATATTTCAGCTGCACGCATACATACAATTTGTCAGCTATGCACATACACACATTATGTCAGCTGCACACATGCACACAATATGCCAGCCATATCCGTACACACACTGTGTTGTGCACATACATACATATATACATGACATGTCAGCCACACGCATATACATTAGCCTTACTGTTCAAAAAGCCTGTTTTTTGGCCATAACTCTTTGGTTTTTCATCTGGTGCTTTCCAAATTTGCCATTTAAATTACATATGATACACAAATTGTTTTGCATAAATATTTAGTTTAGATTATTTTAGTTAAGTAGACAAAATCTGCAACATATATACATATATACTTACTGCATCAGCCACACACACACAATATATCAGCTATACACATACAATACATCAGGGTGTAAGTTATTGTGAAAAAATATCCATCCTTAAAATCCTGGGGTGTTAATTCATGTTTTTGTTTATCTTCACTGAGTAAATTGAAACCCAAAGAATAACAGCAGCCTTTCTATCTGACTGCCAAAAATGATAGCCATCCAAGAGCTATAAATGAACTCATAGATGATAGCAACAATGGCATGACCCCCAACATATCACTAATATTCATGATTTAATAATTTGCAATCTTTATATGAAAGAAAATTGGGAAACTAATTGTATATTTGTGACCATTTCTGGTGAATTCTGACAATTTAGTGCTTCTCAAAGCTGTCTTGTCTCTCTGCTAAATTCCATTGTCAGATGACGAAAAGACGTTAAATTTTCACATTTAACAACATGAATATTTTCAGTTTCAATATTCAGCAACTAAAATGTTTTTATATCCTTAGGAAGTTGGAATTTATTAATTTTCAGTGCTTGGACAGCTTTTAATGTCACCTCAGATAAGTTGTTAAACATGAACTGTCAATTTTCATAGAGGCATTGCTTTTATGACAGTTGTCCATGATTTATTTTTAAGGTAGTTTTAAAATTACCAGTAATTTACACAACTTCATCTTCATTCATGTCATTGTTAGCATAGATATAAAATATCCGTATTGGACTTACTGTTTCTTTAAAATGTCTCTGGGTTGGTCAGTGTTGTGATAAAAAGCAACAATAATAAGATGCAGTGAAATTTGTTGTTAAATAATAAATTTTAAAATGTTTTATTTAGAATTTAAAGAGAAAAATATAAATAATTTAAAATCAGTGAAATTCCTCCCCTGGTGATTCCAGCTTTTTTCATTTCCTCCCCATTACTGAATTATGATCTCATAATTTTTTTCAATATATACAAGCTAAAATGGGCTTAAGGCCACCCTACATTGAAACACTAGTTTCTGTATGATCATCAAAGTTAAGCAATATCGAGCCTAGTCAGTACCTAAATGGGTGACTGCTTGGGAATAGCAGGTGCTATTAGCTTAGATGTGCAGGTGATGTAATGTATAATGGCTAGGAACTGTTTATTGAAGAGCTGACTTCCAATTCTTGTTGGGTTTGTTATATTCACTTATGTGCAAATACCCTTGGGAAACGTATGACTCCACCTCTTCTCTCCCCAGCTATGGGTTAATTAGTAAGACTTTGTATCACGAAAAACATTATCATCTCCCCCAAAAAATAAAATTGTGTATAAAATATTTATATTTCAGTATTAAATAACTCAGAGGTTGATATGCTACTAAAGAAAAACAAACCATTTGTTTTTTGACAGCTTATCAACCATTTGTAGGTTATTTAAAGCCAGAAAATATTTTTAGATTGCAAGAATTTTTATTTTTTTTAAGATAATCTGTTTTACTAATTAATGCATGCCTGTGTTGTGTATCAAAACCAATTTCCTTATCTTTTTGTTTTTCTTCGAAATCACAATAATTGCTGTACAATTTCGTCTTCCTAACAATTCTGTTATATTCAGGACAAGCATTTTTCTTTGCAAAATTAATTTGTATGTTGTTGAGATCTGAAGGATATGATCTGGATAATGATGATGAAGGGAGTGAGTTTTCTTGAAAATTTAAAAATAACTCAAGTACTGTTGAATAAATAATGCGGTATTTACTATAATGGTGTTTGAAAGTAAATCAACTTGTTATTTCATTTACATTATTAATTTGGAAAAACTTAAATGTTTCTAAAATGAGAAAACTCGTTTTCTCAATAGATATTTTTTCTTAATGTTTCTCTACAAACACACGTCCTGCTGTTTTGCCCTCTGTCTATGTTGGAAAATGTTATTTATTTTCTCTGTCAATACACATCAGTTTATTCAACATCTCTTAAACAGTTGGTATAGTTTACAAAATGAATATTTCTCCTTCGTATATATCACTTGGCCACCTGGTTTCTAATGCAGAACACACTCGGTGAGATTCTGTCAACTAGTATCTTATATATATATATATATATATATATATATATATATATATATATATATACATATATATATATATATATATATATGTGTGTAAAGGAGAGTTTATATTTTTTTGAATGAGAAAAAGTGAGAAGCCAAAAACGTTTTTGGTTATAATGTGGATTTTTAAATATATATTATACTTCATTTTCTATATTTTTGCTGGAAAAAATACACTTTGTAACCAAATATATTTGCAGCTTCTCTCTTTTCTTTAAAAAAAAATATATATATATATATATATATATATATATATATATATATATATATATATATATATATAATAAATTCATTGATATATAAAAACCAAGTGGATCATAGTAACATACAATATTAAAACTGATCCATAAAAGAGCTCAGTGTATTTATTATTACATAGCAAATAGTACACAATAACATCTAAAATTACCTCATATGGGGAATAGTCTTTTTCAACCCTGGTATAGATTGATATATATATATATATATATATATATATATATATATATATATATATATATAAAACAGAAGATATTTGTCTGTGCGTGTGTGTGCTATTTATGCACATCCACACTTCTTGACCAATTTTGATGAAATTGTACACACATGTTGAAACTTTACCAATAGGTCAAGACCAACTTTTCAATCTCCAGGTCCCCTCAGGTTTTGGCAGAAAAATGGATAAAACAAGAATGTCGTATAACTTTTTGCAGAAACCCAGGCATAGTTACATGCAAACAAAATTTTTAATGGATGAGCTGATGTTATTTGCACTTCAAGCAAAACATTGTTCATGTTACAAGATTTATATAAAGTGCTTGATAGTTTTCCTGTGACATTGGCTTCGCAGAAAAAATTGCAAAAACTGGAAAAATCGAGTTTTTTCGAACTACTTAAAATAAAAGATTTTATCTGATTTTCTTCAAACATGTTGCACAAAATTTGTCATCATGCAAGAAATAAGATAGTGTGGTTTTAGTCCTGCTAGCTTCCCTGTGTATAATGAAAAACCAAGCAAAACTGTTCAAAAAGCCTGTTTTTTGGCCATAACTCTTTGGTTTTTCATCTGGTGCTTTCCAAATTTGCCATTTAAATTACATATGATACACAAATTGTTTTGCATGAATATTTAGTTTAGATTATTTTAGTTAAGTGTACAAAATCTGCAACAAACTAGGTCCAATATGGGCTTGTGCCATTTAATAGTTTCTTCATGATTCCATTCTAAATTGGCATACCAACAACCTTTGATGCAAAGATTGTTTGACAAGGATTATTGAAACATTAAAAGGGAAAAATTTTTGAAGAACCTCTTATTAATCTCACCTTTATAGTAAATATGTGAAGAAGAAAAGTGGGCGTGTTCATGCATTTGCACTTGCTATTGAATCAAACTCTGATGCTTCATTTCTGTTTTTGTTTGATTATTAGATTTGTGAACAATGCCATAATATTTGAAAGTTATTACAGGCATAGAAAATTTACTGAATACCTAAAACATTGAAACAATTTAACCCTGAACAACTGCCACAGAAGAAGTTTTTATCAATGGAATTCTTTTATTAAGAACAATCAAACACTTGCGAAGGACATAGTGTAAAAAAGATGAGGGTTTGTAGAGTAGCTTCGTATACCAAAAGATGATGCATGTAAGCAGGGCCGCAGGCAAATATTTCTAGATAATGGGGTGTGGTTATGCAATTGCAGCTATGTATGCCCAGACAATGCCAGGTGCCTTGGCTAATATATATATATATATAATAGTTGGATTCAAAAAATTTTAAGAACAGGTTCTCTCAACAACAGGTCTCGCAATGGGTTCCCTCATTTTTTTATCGTGTATACTTTACTATATAGATATAATTTGGGAATAAAGCAAATTTTTCTTGCACTTATTCAAAAATACCAAAATTAATCTGCATGACATTGCACATTATCATTTTGAAAGGAAAAATAATTAAAAGAAATGCTTTAAAATCTTTTATTCATAAATTTCCAAATAACCACTTGATTGTCATCTTAGTCTTCAGTTTTTTGCGGGGATTTTTTGCCTCACTCTGTTGGCATCAACAATGTGATTTTTCTAAGCCAGGTTTTAACAAAAAGAATGACATCCCATAAATCTAAAGGGAAACCAATAAGATCAAGTTTGCTGCATTTTCTACTGTTTGGCGGCTTCTTTCATTTGAGTATATAATATTCTTTCTTGAAAAAATCTCTTTCTGCCTCAGAACTGAAAGCAATTGTATTGATGGCAGTTTTTGCTTTTTGCACAGTTTGAAGAATTACTGAATTATAAAAGATTTTCAGGGTGTTTTCCACATAGTCATGAAGATCATTAATGGAAAAGTTTTGATGAAAAATTTTACTGATGCCATTCTGCTTTTCTTTTGCGACTTTTTAGAGAATAACTATTTCTTGAATATTCCAAATATCTGGCTCTAGCAAGTTCAGCAGTTCATGAAATTTATATTAACCTTTATTTGATCACCTGAATTTACATCCCCAACTGATTATGTGATGACAATTTGTAGACAAGCTAAAATTAGCAGTTTGTTAGTTTGGGTTGCAGCTAGCAACGGGTTTGTTGAGCTCATAAAATTCCAAGAACATGTTCGTATGAAGCACTGAATCCCACCACTGTATTTTTATGACAAACTTATATGAGTATGTGACAATTTAATTTGTAATTAACACATCAGGAGAGGCATACTTCTTGTTTTTATTCATATATATATATATATATATATATATATAGATAGATAGATATAGATATATAATTAAAAAGTAAAACATTTGTCACTTGGCTGATTGATGTTAACTTTAGCATCCTGAAACCAGAGTTTCATACAGACTCTCCAGGAATCACTATGCCACTCTTCAGAGGTATCAGCAGTGTTCATAGTTCTCATTTTTACTTTATGCATTTACTTTCTGTTTTGTGTATATCTATCTATCTATCTATCTATCTATCTATCTAATATATATATATATGTATATATATATATATATATATATAAACTGATTGATGACATTAAATTGACATCGATTGCTTCAGAGATGAAACTGAGATGCACCTTGCTGTCCATAAGTTGGACACTGAATGCCAACACCAAACAATCATGGCATTGTTGCCGTCAAAATTCCTGGTCTTGAGTTTGATAAGTTTCAAATCTTTCAATGACCAGTGGCAGCTTCAATTCTTATTCTTCTCATTTGGTTGAGCAGACATTTTCGGACTTCATAAGGATATATATATATATATATATATATATATATATATATATATATATATATATGTGTGTGTGTTCTTTTTTCATAGATACAAATATTTAAGTAAATTTTAGGTTTATCATAAACAGTATTAACGACAATTACCAGCCTGAATGTCAGAAATTTTCATAGAAAATATGAGTCCTCCAACAGGAATCAAACCTGTATCCTATATGGAGCCGTCATATAGCCTGATGTGCCTTAACAGATTGAGCCACAGAGGAGCGTTTTGGTTAGCAAGGTCAATTTTACTGTTTTTACACTACAAAAATGATACCAAGATGATAACGATTGACGTTGCATTTAAAGTTTTGAAGATTGTTGGTTGACGCTGGCAAATGAAAAGACTGGAAGAGATATCAACAAGTGAGAAATGTGAGAGAAGAAACTTAATTTAAAACTTACATCTCACAGTTTCAACAATGAAATAAAAACCCTATCTGTCAGTCTAGTTGAGTAACGTCTGTAATACACATTTCAGCAATCATGTCTCTTTTGATTCATGACTGACTAGGCAGAAAATTTTTCCCTCAGTAGATTGCCATTTATTTCTGTAGTAGACTGGTTACCAACCAAGGCTATGGGACCAACTTTAGTCCATAGCTTGTACTGTGCTTAAATTCATGAAGTCAAGGTACCAAAGAATAATTGCTATGAAAATATTTATAGAAAAACTAAGTGAAGCAATTATGGCAATTGGAATGTGGTAAAAAACACAAAGACATCTTGTTGATTATTTACATTATT